GGAAGAAGGCTTTCGATCCTGCCTTTTCCCTACACATCCCACTTCGCGTCTGTACTAAATAGTAAGTGATTCGTGACTGATTAAAATGGTGACATAGTTGGCAATGAGAACACTCACAATTGTAACAGCTAGAGGGTAGAATTAACACAAAGGGCAAACTCCGGGAAACAGGTCACCCCATGGGTTTTAAGGGTTAAACTTTACCTCCCGTAATGAAACTTATAGGTAACTTCCATACCTGAAGAATTTTTCTTTCTCAACATCAGTTTTAATGGTTATTTGGTTAAGAAATGTCATTATCTCCAGAAAGCCGCTCCTAATGATATTAAAAATGCCCTATAATTAAAATCTCACAAATTCATATTATGCAATTTAAAATGATTTTCATGTTGAAGGGATATACATTTCTCTAAGGTAGGCAGTGGTCGGGAACTAAAATTAAATAAAATTCATCAAAGTTTTTTTTAAGATAGAAAAGGTGAAGATCATTATCGCCTTCACTGAAAATCATTTTAAAAAACGGTGTGGTGTAAATTTTTAGTTTAATTTGAGGCATCAACATTTTGAAAAACTTTCTCAAAGTCTTGTTACTTTCCCAGTACATTGACTAAGAACTCTTGGTCATTTTTTAACAAATTGAGAACGTTTTCTCCACCTCTGCCATCTATCAGGGAATGTATGAACCTTTATATTCCTTTGCTATGAAGTTCCTGACCAAAATTTCAGATAGAATAAGATTAGCTTTGACAAACCTGAAGAATTCATCACCAAGAAGACTGGAAAACTGAGGCCGCATCTGGAACATATATCAAGAATGCAAGTGAACATTAATACACGAACTGCATACATAAACACATAAAATATGTAACTGCTTGGAGGAAACTGTGATTGAGATGGAGATGACTCAACTTGTGTATGCACAAGGTAAGCAACTTTTAGCCTACAGACCCACATAATAAACTAGAATAATTATTACTGATTATTAAAACAATTTAAAATGTCTGAAGCTCACAAACAAAGAAGTTGTCATGCCACCTTAACAAGATAGTTTTAAAAACACAAGCAAAACAAGATAAGCTTGAAGACTTGATACAGTTTTTGCTCACAATCATCAAATACAAAGGTGACATTTGTTTCTGTTGTTGGCCTCAAATGGTTCAAATTACATAATTCATAATGTGGTTGTATCATCAGCTAATGACTGCATGGACCATGATAAAAATCATATTGTGTAGAGTGGTTGTAAAAAAAGTATGACTGTCGCAGCTGACTAAGTGGAGCAAATATCACAGTGGGTATTTATTCAATAAAAAAGGGGAGCAAATATCACAGTGGGCATTTATTTAATAAAAAAAAGTGGAGAAAATATCACAATGGCTATTTATTTTAATAATAAAAAAATCTGTGTATGGCGTGTAAAACTACATACATGCCGCAATAAGCAGAAAAAGTAGTTAGTATGTCTCCCATTCGTAGGTGGTTGTCAATTCTCCACTCAACATAAAAAACAGATTTACCTATTTCCCCTCAAGAAATTAGTAACAATTTTGTCAACACCAGGAAAAAGAAAAAAAATTATGAATTTAAAAGTAGAAGAGCCACTCAATGTAGCAGTTTCATTAAATTCCTACACGATGTTGATGAAGTATTGTTTAAATCCATAAAATTAAAATGAATGGAAACCCTCTAATTAAAACCAACAATAAAATGTATCCAGAGCATTAAAAATATATATATATATATATATATACCTGAGGATTCTCATGAAGAAATAAACTCTGCATCTTTTCTCCAAAATTTTCACCTGCATCTCCTTGGAGGAGATAAATTAAAGATATTCATTGAGTGCAAAAACAAATAAATGTGAAAAGGAATGGTCTGTTTTGAGGTTAGACAGAAATCATATGTCGAATGAACAAACTTATGCTAGTGCTGCAGTTGGTTAAAAAAACCATTGGCAACTTTTCATGGCCTGAATTTGTTGGAAAAAAAAGACCTGGGAATCAAAATTTGTATAAAAAAACTGATTCAATATTGTCAGGACTTAGAGTGGAATAAAGGTTCACACGATACACGTATCACAGGTGTTAATTAACTGACTTCAGCATTCCATGTGAATAGATCAGATCATAATTATGGACTTATGGAATAAACATTTTCCTCTCCTTAGTTCAACATTATAAAATTGCAATTTTTCAATATTGTCAATTCGAAGGAAACATAAATAGTTACCTAAATCTGTACGAGTATCCAAGATGTCACTGACAAACATACCAAAGCCATATGCATCAAGGGCATGACCTGTCTTAAGACTAACATTTACTCGACCATCCTACCAAGAGAGACAGTAAATCAAGATACTAGTAAAGGAAGTTTGGGGGTTATGGTGGTGATCGCCAATTGATCAGTGATGTTGTTGACATTATAATAACCTTTAAACTCCCATGTAACACGTAACTTCTCCCTATAATATCCTTACATTATCCAGCAAACAGATAATGAGAATATTCAAACATATCAGGTAAAGGTTTTTATCTTGATCTAACACCAAATTCAAGGAAATGTATCCTAGCTAGAAGGGAGAATCAACAATCAGATCTTGGGATTTTAACCCTTTAACCCCTAAGAGTTACTGGCATCTAATTTCTCCATACCATAACACCCCTGAATCAAATATTAAGGTTGCAAGAATAAAGGAAATGATCACCAACTACAGAAGCTCTTGATTGTTGAAAAAATTCTACTTGTTAGCCCCTTAGGAAATGTATAGAAAACAGAATGGAGAATATGCGTCCTGATGTTAGGGTGTAAAGGGTTAATGGTTAGGGCACTGAGGTGACTTAGGTCTTCATTGCCAAAAAAAGTAAGCTATTTACTTAACATTTATGGACAGCCATTGCAGTATTGCTGGCCTTACTAATACAGGAATAATTCCTAGCTTCTAATGCTAGGCAGTGTACAGTCATAGTTTCAAGAGACAACACCCTATTGGTAAAATACAAGTTACTTGAAGCAGGAATAACCTTTTCTTCTGGAGAAATAGACTTGGTGTCCCTTTGTGCTCTTGTTCCTGACAAAAACTTGAGAGACAAGAAACACACTACATCAATTTTGCAATAAAATTATTCACGATATGTTAAATACCTATACACAGGTTGGAGAATGAATTACAAACCAATTAAGTTAGAGGGGTAAACTAAAAACAAAGCTATATATTCTAGTTCACATTTAGTTCTTAACTTATGTAGATAGGATCTTAATTTAACACTTCTGATCATGTCAATTTATCCTACCTGTTGCCCTGAATGTCTTTTGTGGTTGGTCAATTTATCCTAGCTGTTACCCCAAATGTCTTTAGAACTACTACAGCACTTTCTTAATTAATTTATGCAAAATTAATCCTCCATTATTAATAAAAGTAAATTCAATTTTGACATAGGAAAATTATAGACAGTACTACATTGCCATAATTTACAATTTCACATACATGTAACTGCTAGAAGTGTAATTATACATCTTTTAAACTTTTCTAGAAAGAAGAAATGCCATCTCTCTCTCTCATGAGATGTAAATTAATCTACAGACATAATGTTACAAAAAAAGTTTCACATAATTTTACCTCATTTGTCAATTCAGAAAATCTGCAGACATGTTCCATTCCACCAAGTCTCCATCCCCAGTCATTATCACTTACGTACACAGACGACATGCAGACATTGTTGTGTGACAGACCACCCTAAAAATTTCAAGAATAGAATGTTACAAACCATCATAGGATATGTATCTGCACAGAGTTATATTGTGAGGCTAAACCCTTAATACTAACAATGCTCTCACTGCCTGTGTTAGGGCGCAGTTTCATTCTTAGGTTTGTTTTGTGCTAATTAAGTGTGTGACTTTAGTGTGACTTCAGTATATATAGAGTTTGCCAAGTGAATATTTTAGTTCGGCAGTTGTGTTAAGTTGCAACTGGTTATAACAGTTTTCTTAGTCCTTGGAAATGGCAAGATATAACAATCAGTTTGAAAAAGAGGAAAGTGACATTTCAACTACTGCCAATGTTTGAACTAAGGATTAACATCAATCAAATAATACTAAAACAATCTCAACACAGGTACTAAAAATAAGAACTTAAAACAGATCACTCTCTGGCAAAAGCATGAAATAACTCTTGGACTTACCCTCTCATGCAAAAATACTAGAGCTTCAACAACATTATAGAGTCCAGCAATTATCTCCATTGTGTCTAAACTCTTTATAACAGATTCTAAAGGCCTGACTGGTTCTGTCACCATACAAAACTCTTCTGAGTTATCATAGGACCAATGGTGTCTAAGAATGGCTGGATGTTTAAGAGTTTTGAGACACTGAAAAAGAGACATTAAGTCATGCATGTAAAAATGATTATCTCTTTCCTCTTTCACCAGTGAAACTATTGTATTGTGATGATAAGAAAAAAACTATGTAATGATTTATCCTTAATCATTTTTAATCATTTATCATGAATTAGTAATGATATCAGGGGTTTTAATAACTCATAAGCAGCTGTGGATGGCATGGTAAGCACCCATGCCAGGAAATGGCATAGTAAGCTAATACCAATCACAAGAGCCTGCTCTCCAGCAAAACAGATGGTACTAAGGTAGACCACTGGTAACCTTCTCTTAATGAAACTCCTTGATATCATTACAAAATCGACCCATTGACAGTGGTTTAACATCATCTGTACTCTTGTTGACGATGATATTCATCACAGTAGTCAAAATGTTGTGGAATCGCAAGATGCAGCTGATTCAGTGCTCAACAAAAATTTTAACCACAGTGCAAGAAATATCATTGTCAATAAGAGTAAACACCACTCTAAACCACTGTCTATTTGTTTTTACTACAATATCAATGTCAGATAAACAGTCATTCATGTTTGAGAGTTGTTAACCCTTTAAATCCCATGAGTGACCAAGACAGAATCTCTCCTTACTATATCAATACTGTATCAACCAAATAAGTGATGAGAATAAAGAAAAATATCAATCAGGGGATAATTAGTCGATTCAATACTAAATTCTCTGAACTTATATTATAAGAATGGTATGGTTGAGAGTAAGGAGAATTACAAATTTGATCTGGGAGTAAAAGGGTGAAAGGCATTGCATGACAGGTTTGTGCCAGCAGTACTTTCTGTAGTCTTATTGACAACAGCAAACTCACCAATCAGATTGCAACATTACTGCCCATTGAGTTAAAATTCCTTTTTGGCTCTGGGTGCAAGATATTTCTTTTTACAGGTTAGATAAGTTGGCATTTCCTGTACAACTACATTGCACAATGACTGATTTTTTTGTAACAATAAATGGTTTGAAGCAGGGAATGACAGTGCATCATGTAGTTGATCATCCAGCATGGGTGAGGGAAGTCCTGAAATAGACTGTTGTCAGTATACTATGTAAGATACTGATGTTTCTGCCCACAACATCAAAGGAACATATCATCAAAGTCAATTGCCTGACTGTAACCTGACTTGATTTTGATGACGACTTATAAAGTTTTGCAAATTTCAATCACGAAAATTAACGACAGTTGCTTTCAGAGTTACCCTCACAAGGATGATCAGACTTTCAGTGGACGTACACCATTAACGAATGTTGTTTTTTCAGGCAAAACCTCTAAGGCTGACGTGACATGACATGACTCATTACCCAGTATAATCTGCCTTACCTGTGCAGCTTTAGAAATCCTTTCATAATCCCTATTCTTTTCCTTCCCTTTCTTCTCATGGACAAATACAGTAACTTTGAGGCCATCTTGACTCCTTCTCGCTGTGTAAATACTCCATTCTTTGCTATTACATTCGACAGGTTCATCCAGCTCGTAATCCTTTTCAACACTACATTCTGATCCCATGGCAAGCCAATCGCACCATAAATGATTCAACACAACACAAAGTAGATGTTCTTATTTTTTTGCCAGTGGATAATGTAAGACGAACCATTCATTAGTGAGCGTGACGTACGTCGAATGACACGTGAAAAGAAAAACTTCTCAACACACCACGACGAACAGCTATTTTTTTAAACTTTCAAATGTTCAAGGATAAACTTCTTGGATGAAAAACGGAAGACTTCACTTTGCCATCGTGGAAACGGAAAAACATAAGATTTGAGAGGGCTCCTTACAACCTAAAGTCAGCAGCCATGTTTGGGAATATGCGCTCTACATATGTCAGCGGTATATGCGTACTTTCTTCGAATCTCGGGGGTGGGGGGACTAGTTTGATCTTTAACTCGTTCGTGTTAACGTCACTAAGATGATAAAGATCATGATGAAAAGCCTTGGATCTAATAAGTTATGCAAACCATTAGAAGACGAAGGAAGTAGATGATAGGTAAATTTGTACATGTACCGTAACTGAGAATCTGTAGGCTGAAGAGAAGTGTGCTGATCGCAATATAAAACATAGGGAAGCATAATTATTCCGGGCCTGCTAAATAATTATACTTACATTCGTGATGTCCGTTGTTAGTACTCAGGCTATATACCTGCTAAATTTTGTCGCAAATTTACGAGACATGCAAGCATTCTTTTCATCAAAGGCGACTTGAGGGTCCAAAATAGACTTCAATCCCGCATCCCGCAGCTATTCTTCATCCCGCCATTCCACTGCAATGAACATTTTTATCCCGATCCCGCCGGATTAAACCCGAGTTTCTTTAGCTCACCACCAACTGATTACGTACTCTCGTCATGGAGAAAGGCAAGGACTTGCTGAACGCATACTTAACGCACATTTAAGCCTGGATAAACATTGCGCAAGGAAAAGCAAAAACAAAACAAAAATTCCATAGTTTGATAGAGAAAAAAATTGTGTACTTCTTGGTACAACCTGATCGATTCGTAAACTCTGCAAAAGACGATTTCAATATGATATATGGTTAAATATGATATATGGTTAACATAACATAAACCTTCACTCATATCTGTAAACTAAGATCAACAGTTTAAAATGTTTTTGTGAAAAGTTCATAAAGTTCTGCTGTTATCCTCAACTCCCTTCTGTCGTTTTCCTTCTTCGTGTAAAGATCTTGGAGTTTAGGAGTCATAAAAAACATTTTCCCGAGTAAGAAGAACATAAAATCCCAATTGTTCGTTCTTGCTTTCTTTT